TTGATTGAGACTCTAATGGAGATAATGAATTGGCGAGTATGAGGATGGATTAATGGCCCCGACGAGTTTCGTCGATCTAGCTACACGATGTTGCTTCGGCCAGAGCTGACGTAATGCCGTGACTACGCACCTGCCCTAGGTAAAAACAAACTTTCGGTTACATAACGCCTTAAGCTTCGCTGAAAAGCAACATGCACCCGTGCAGCTTGCTCAGACTCATTTCAGTTAACTGTGTAGCTGAACGCCTTCTACATATAAGTATATTGTAATATGGAACATGCTGCCCCTTCCCATCCCTGCAGCGATCATAGCGTTGGCCTCGATGCGTACCTGCTGGGCTTCTACCATCTTCAACACTGCGATTTACACCCGGCTTTGTCTGGTTTGTTAATTCATCTGGCACAAAGGAGCTAGTAATCATCAAGGATATTCTATACTCTATAGGCAATTTTGGATGGTAGGGGGGACGATTGGATAGGTGCAAGACTTTGGTGTTCTAGATAAGATAGGCGAGATATTTATGTTTCAGCCAATAAGAGTGCGAAGTTTAAGATTCCTTCTCTTTCTTCTTGCAAATGTAGTTACGATGTTTTCACTGTTTGTCTACTACTATATAAACATCTTGTATCTAACTTGTTCAAAAGATTTTACAAAGATGATTTTAGGTAGTAAAGCAAGCAACCCTCTAATTCCAGATGATTATTGTTAGTGCAGGGGCAATCGTCTAAACACTCTGCCTCTCCTTACAACCTCGCCGTGATGATAATAGCGACAGCGATAGCGAAAACAAACATTTGATGGAACAATCTCTCAGAACATATTCTTCTAGACGGTTCCCAAGGATGATGGCCAGGAGGTCTGTAACAACAGCCAGAGTCACTAGCCATGCTATGGATCAATGAGTAGACCGCACCCCAGTTCCTCGATGCAATCCTCACGAGGTCTTCGTCTCCCATCTTGCACTCGTCGAGAGAGTGTCATTATCTTCTGGGGCCAACTCCTCATCTCACGTCGACCATTCGGCCCGAGGCTTCTGACCAGCTATTCTTCGTGCCTATCGCGTCGTGTGGAAAGACTAGGAGCCTTCTAGGGTATGGAAGTTTGCTGAAAGTGCTAGTATTTGCGGCGGAGTTTGGAGTTTGTACAAGAAGAGAACAAGGAGAAAACGTTTGCCACTGCGCATCGCTTTGGATATCAAGCGCGCTTCTTTACGCTGGCATAACTTAAGCTTGGCGGTGAGAGAGAGCAAGTGAAGGACAATAACAACAACAACTAGAAAGAGATAGAAAAAAGTGGGCACCTCATGGATGATACTGCCTTCGCCCTTCCTTTGCCACGAAATCTCTCACGCGATAAAACTCGACCCACGACCCACTTACCAGAGCGCCCACCTTCGTCTATCTCACCACCACTTGTCTCGCCAAACTCGCCCTCAAACCGCGTCGATTTCGCCATGCAAAACAATCTCGCCTGCCCACAGTCACCGCGCGACCAAATTGAGGTGGCAGAAACGCCCTTGGGCGGCGTGGCACCTCATGCACCGGAACAGCCATCTGCAGCGATAGAGTGTAAGATATCTTCGCCCAGAGTAGCACCTTTAGCTCAATATCCAGATCCGTCAGCAGCTTCGCCTGCACAACTTGACGTCGTCGCAGAGTCCTCGGACTCTAGTGAGACTAGACTTACGCCCTCGAATTTAAGTGGGGTCTCAACCCCACTTGAGACCAGCGATGGATACGATCTGTCTGCCTTTGGGGCAGATAGCATCAAGTTTTCTGCGACTGAAGATAAGTATAAGGTACTGTCCCCACCCAGTAGCTGCGGCGGCGGCAGTGACGACGATCACGAGGTGAGGTCTCTGGAGTGCAGGATTGATGCAAAATGAACGGAGACCTCGTTGCCGACCTCAAAGTGATGGGCTTAGATGAAGTGCATCGTCTCAGCTAACCCATGGCTAACGCACTTCGCTCAGCACACAACACTTGTCAACACCGCCGCCACCTCACCCATTCCTCCTCTACCCTCGTCTAGTCCCCCACTATCAACATCGGACGACGAAGAAGACAAAGGGCGTCTAGACCGCATTCGTACCGCCATAGTCTACACACGCGACCAGCTCTCCACAGGCCTAGAGCCCGCCGTTCAGTCAAACTTCACAATCGAACGCACAAACCCTCCTTCCGCCGCGCTCATTCTTCTCCGTCGCGCACATCACAACAGCCTCGCATATAAGATCTACGAGTCCGACAAGAGCGTCTGTTACTCCCTTGGCGTACCCCCGGCAGGATTGATGTTCGGCGCCGTCAGCCCGCAGTGGTGGACAGGTAAATCCCGCGCACAAGTCAAAGCGGGTGTGTTCGCCAACGAGGCGGACGTGAAAAAAGCGGAGGTCGAGGTAAACAAGGCGGAGAAGAGGAGGCAGAAGTCCGAGAAATCGGGGAGGCTCAAAATAGAGCGCAAGATTCTAGAGGAGGGACTTCGGAGAAGAAATGCGGGTCTCAGGATGTGGGACGAGGCCGGCGATAAAGGTGGGAAGCAATCGAAGGGAAGGAAGTCTAGGAAACTAATGAAGCAGCAGCAGCATATGGGCGTAGAGGGACCCTATGGGGGAAGTGACGAGGAGGAAATTGCCGTGTGGTGGGGAGAGCATGGAAGAGGAAAGGGACCTGGATGGATCGAAGCTGGAAGACAGATCCAGCGTAGACAAGAGATGGATGCCCAACACTCGGAGGAAAGCAGCACACGTTTAGTATGGTTGTAGATGAATGTTCAAAAATATACCTGTACTTTTAGTATATCTGAGAACTGTGTGCAAGCACATGAAACCCGACATGAAAACCGACATGTGCTTATATTAAGTGCAGGTGGGAAAGGTTCGGCTTGTTGTCCCTTTGGTGACATTGATGGATTGATTGGATTGTCGAAGTCCTCTTTTTGAACAATAAAGTGGTCTTTGATGACTACAGCAGTGCTTTGTAGGGCCAGCCTGAATCGTTTTGCCCACTGACTGGAGTTGAAGTAAGTTTTTTCCTAAACACGCTTTCTTGTGACACGATTCCAACCGTGTGCTGACCTTTGTTCTTACTCCCATCCTGTTCATTAAAGGCGATGGGGCAATGTGGGTCAGGGGTTTAGCTATGCTGAGATATCGTGATTCACTGATGATATCCAATGGCAGAGATCAACAAGGTCCGGATGATAAATTGAAAAAGAGAGCCTATTGTGTTGGGCCTTCTCTACTTGTGAAACACTGCTGATCGGAACCGGGCATCTTCATCGATCCTATATCCTAGCAGTAGCCTCAGCATCCGCTTTGATCTTCACCTCATACTCCGCGATATTCGAGATGCCCTTGGGCATACCATTCGACAACAACCCTTGCTCATCCATCAGTTGAGACCGTTTGCCCATACACACTTTCCAACTCGGCCTTGAGATCATGCGCTCATGCCACTCCTTGACGTTTGGAAAACCATCGAACTTGGCCTCTGGAGCGCATAAAAGAACCGAGTCGATGCGATCATTCCACGTGGAGAAAGCAAGATCTGCAAAAGTTATATTGTCGCCAACAAGCCATTTCTTACCATCTAGTACGGTCTCTAGAACGCCGAGAACCCGTTTTATCTCAGTGTTGTAGCGCTCGATGGCCGATGGAAGTTTTTCGGGGTGTAGAACGTTGAACCACCCGGCTTGCCCGAAGTACGGACCTTGACCCGAGATTTGGAAGGCAAGGTATTGGTTGCAGAGTGAGCGCTCCTTGAGATTGGAGTAACTGAGAACATGGTTCGTGTCGTAGACCTCGATAATATATTGGATGATGGCACCTGTTTCCCACAGCGTGATGCCTGTATTGGGATCTTCGATGGCTGAGCATGATTTAGTTAGGTCAGCAGTGATCGAGCGGACCAACATACCCGGCGCACGTCCATTTGGGTTGAGGTCGGTAAATGGCTTGGATTTAACCTCCTGGAATGGGAACGAGTTGACCTCGTATGGAACTCCGAGCTCCTCAAGAACGATGACCACTTTCCATGGGTTGGGGCCCGCCGCTGATGCCTGTTAGATAAGATGTTCTCGTGAATGTTGAGCTAAACGAACGGCACATATGGACCTTGATCGGCTTCGTCATTCTGGAGGAACCAACAGTTTGGAATATGGAAGAGTAGAAGACTGGAAAAGAAGGCGGCTTGAGCGCTTAACAAGATGAAGCTGGAGCGATGACACTTGTCAGAATTATGGCGGGGGCTTACTTTTATCAAGTGGGGTAATTTGCTGTGCCACTCTGTGCTTCCGTGACACAGAAATCTCTAACGGCGGGTGGATTATCGCGTTCAACAGATGTTGTGCAAACTATGCCGCAGATTTTCGGCCCGGGTGACTCTATTGAGCCGGCAAGGAAATGCGTTTCGATCATTTATTGGAGCGCGGTCCTCATATTACAGGGCCCAAATAGTCATTGCACCTCCAAGCGCCATTCTACAGCCTCGACAAGGTACTGCACAGATCTTTGATTGTAATCATGATTTCTTGTTTTGGCTTGAGCGGAACTGATATGCATGCGGTCTTGAATCCCACTTGACGTTGAACTCTGCCAGTAGTCGAGATTGAGGGCGGTACTTACGATTCAGGATCGTGGGACAGTCGAAGATATACACGTGATCAAATCACGTGACTCTCAATGTGGTGAACGTGAACAAGTTCTCTTGACGACTAATTACCACCAACCTTGTCAGACAAGTTGGCAGATCTAGCCTCTTGCCCTCCAATCATCAATTGATTGTGGGTCACATCTCATCCAACTCTTCGCTCGTCACAATACTAACTCCTTCGTAGTATTGAGGGGAAGACGTGAGCGCTGACCCGTATTCTTCCATGGTTCAAACTCAGTGCTCGGGTCTGCTTGCTTCGTTGTCGCCAAAAAGATATATCCAATCCTCTCCAACACTACCAAGTCAACTGTGTTGGAGAAAATCAAAATGCAAAAAATTCAAAACTACACACGACCACCGTGGGACTCGAACCCACAACCTTAGCCTTGCATCTCAAATAGGAGGGCTACGCGCTACCATTGCGCCAGACGGCCTTGACTTGTTATTTAAACTTTTTTGTTGTTAAAATGTTTATATAGTATGGCAAAAACACAAAGAGCATTGTGAAAACATAGGTTGGAAGAAAGAAAAAGAATTTTTCGAAATGCGGGGTCGAGCTTGCAGACAGGCCAACAAGGCTCTAATTGGCTGGATTAAAATTCTACCACAGACTAAAATCTAGTCCCTCCATCTAGCACCAGCAAATCTCGGGAAATAAGCGATCGCCAGTCAAACACCCAACGCACTACAACAACAAGATCATGAGCTTATGCCCTTAGCATGAAGCCATACATATGAAACACAGTGCGAAAGATGTAGAGCAAAATGACCTAAAAATCTAGCTTGGTTGGCTGCGGAAGGTTGCGATTTTGTTAAGGGCTTATTTCCCGAGAATTGCTCCCTACACCCCCCACGACCGCCATGAGCGGGCCGCAGGGGCATTCTCTCATATAAAAGATCTCCGAACGATCAGTGCGTAGCACACGCTATCTAGTATCTTCATGGGTGAGTGTGCAACATGCAGAGTACCCCACAAAACAGGGGTCATGGGCCGCTTAGAGCCTCTCGATCGACGCGACTGCGTCAAAGTCTTTCCTCAAAAGGCCTGGGGTAGCCAACCAGCGTTGCCCCATCCTCCTTATCTTTTGCTCTTCCAACCATTTCCCCCCAAAGAAGGGGACTGTATATAGATATTGTGATTTTCAAGTGGGCGCATCAAAGCCTCGGCAATCCGAAGTCCAGGACGTGCTCGGGCATTCCGGAAGGCTGGCACGGCTGGGACTTGGACAGATCGCAAAACTTTAGACATATCATCACAGGACTCCAGACGCACTTGGTTGCCTGGCTAGCTCTGTACTTTAGGATTCCAGCCTTGAACTATGCAAAAAGCTCAGTGGTTCTGCCGGTATTGATCATTCTGGTAGTACCACCGGAATTTCGAGAATCTCGGTCCGAGAGTAGCCCAATGCGGAAACAGGTATTTATTGGTCCTAGCGCGTCACGTATAGTCCAGAATTCGAATGCTCACCCTCCTAAGAACGGATTGATAGCGCGTCCTATTACAGAGGCCGAGTTTGTATAGAATCACATTATTTTGTATAAGCAGCGCACTGGCGCCGCCATCAACCCGTTAATGAGGAGAAGGTGTAGCGAACGTTTGCTATCTTAAAACGTTGCATGGCTACATATTCCATACAAATCCTGACCTGTTATTACAATTTTTAATTAGTTAAATGTCTATATATAGTCCCCCTCCTGCCCAGATTTCTAGCGCGCCTTTTTGTAGGAAATAGACAGGGCGAGCAATGACGAAAGACTGGGGATAGAGGAACTCAGAATTTCTACTCAAACGCGGTTCTGTCCAAGTCTATGCTCATGGCCATGCGAAAGAGGCGTTCAATCAAATTTTGCCCATCCCCTATCCTGCATCCTTGCTCACCATGTCTAACCCTTGCAACAAGGCGCGCAATCAACCCGGGTAGGGGATGTGGGACTGTAGTAATGAAGAAGGATGGAGAAGATTGTTGAAACATGGGATTTGTTGGCACGCAATGTTTGAAATGTGGGGTAGTCTGCAGACGGGCTGAGGAGGCCCTAATTGGCTGAATTATAAAATTTTCCTCAGAAAACCTAGATCTAGGTACCTAGTACGAAGAAAATCTCGGGGAAAAACGATCATTTGTCAAAAACTCAACGCAGCTACGGAGGTACTGGCCAAAAGTAAGGACCCATGCAGAACCTCGTACGTACCTACGTTGTCATTTACTGGTTCTACCATCTTAGGGCCCTATAATATATATTGAGCATCCTATCCTGACTCTAGACGGTTTTCGCTAATAAATACGCATGTATAGTGCCTAAGCTTCACTGTGATATCAGGCATAAGTAGTGTATCCGCAAATGACATGAATGGTTGTAATGCCTGATACCATGCATAGGGTTGTAATACCTGGTACCATACACAGTAGTATATAGTAGGGAGGGAATGCCCAAGCGCGAGAACGAGAGTTTGTTCTTCGCATGGACAATGAACTCAGGCCATCAGCCCTTATTTTTGGCTGGCACCTCCGTACAAAAACACGGTCAAGAGCCTACACCTTTATAAAATGAATCCATAGGTAAAAACCATAGTGTAAAAGGAGTAGAGCAACACAGACTTAGAATCTTGGCTTGATTACCTGCCAAAGGTTGGAGAATTGCTTCGTACAACAGGTGGAGCCCCCCTTGGAGTTCTAGCGCACCCGTTTGCGGGCGTGAAAGGCTGTAAAACAGGAGCTTGCTTCAGATACGATGCGTACCAAGGTATGCAGCAAATATACAGAAGACCCTTCTGCTCTTGGCTCTTGGCTCAGAGATTAGAAGACCCACGGGGAATGAAAATGAGCAAGCATACAGAGGAGTGGTACTTGATGGGAAGTAGAATGGGTTGCTCCATCGTTGCTTCATACCTATCATGCTAAGGAGAACTTTGGGAAAATCAAAAGATTCTACCGACATATGAGAATACCCGATTTCATAATGTGGCCTAAACAGGACCGAAATTCCTTGCAGGGACCTTTGAACCCGCCCGACCTCAATGTTCAACACCACTACACCGAAGGAGAATTTATCTAGGTAGTAAGACCCATCTGCTCATAGACCTTTCCAAAGCTCCCCCTCCACGTCTCAGCAACCATCTCCCCAAACCCAACGCCAATCTCCTTCTTAAGAGATCCATCAGACTCCACTTGCTCCAAGGCAGCAAAGAACTTGTCGACATACTCCTGCAGTGGCATTGCGGGGAATGCCTTCTCCGGTCCGCCCTGCATGGCGATCGTTGCCTCCCGGTGAGCTGCATCGAGACCGGTGTCCACATAAGGAGGTACGATCTCGACGACATTCATGTTCTTCTTCGCCTCCTCTCCGGCAAATGCAAGCTGCTGTCTGATGATCAGCGTCAAGGCGTGAATGCCAGCCTTCGTTGAGCAGTATGTTGGATAGAAGGCCAGGGGGACATATGCGATGGAGGAGCTGGTCAGGAAGAGTGTCGTCTTTGTGCCCTTCAAGGCCAAGGCAAGCAGATGTGGTGCGAAGAGTCGCGCGAGAAGGGTCGGGGCCGTCAGGTTGGTGTCGATTTCGCCTCGGATGTCCTCTGGGGTGATGCTCGAGGGTTCGAAGAGGTTGAAGCTCCTCTGGATGCCGGAGTTGATCACCACGCTGTCAAGATCGGGGAAGTCCTTCAGAATGGACGTGACGTGCGTCGGTAGAGCTGCAAGATCGGTAATATCGAACTGCATTGCGGATCGTTAGGTCAGAGCTACTTCTTGGGGTATGTCTTGTTCAGCCTACCTGGAGAGTGGTGATCCCATCTAGGTCCTTTTTTAGGGCCTGGAGTTTGGCTTGGCTTCTACCCGTGACGATAACCTTCTTTCCGAGGCTATGGAAACGACGGACAAAGGCTTCTCCGATGCCTGCGGTTCCGCCAATGATGAGGATAGTGTTGATGCGGGAAGCCATAGTTGCGGATGGTGTTTTAGGTGGAGTAGTTCGACAATAGAATGATAGGCTTCTCGAGTAAGGTGTTTAGATATTTTTGAATGAATCTCGTGGATGTGGATGGATGGATATTGGAGCGAGAGAAACTACGTTGATTGAGATTGAATCATGGGATCTACTTATATACAGGCCCTGGCGACGAGCGTCAAGTTAGGTGCGATTTTTAGTATTTGTCAGCTAGGATTCTCCGCTCCCTCAACATTGGATTTGTGCTACTCTTGTATCCCCAAATGGAAGCCCGAAAAATATCGGCGCCGCAGGCTGGGCTGGCCTGTCTTTGTTTGCATGCGGGGTGAGGAGGCACAGCACAACACAACGGACATATCGGACAATAGACTGACTATAGTCACTGTGGATTACAAATGGTGGGAAAATAGAGAACATTGAATAAATATATTGAAATGTGTAGTCGTCCCCAAAAATCATCCCCGCATTGGCGGCGGGACATACCGCGGGACCTCCCCGCGGGAGACACCGGTCATCACACCGGCATCTCCCTCCCCACCCTGCTCCGGCTCCGGTTCCGGCTCCGGCTCCGCCGCCACCGCTGGCGCAGCAGCAGCAGCAGCAGCCTTCTTAGTCTCGAAGGCCCGAGCCCTCTTCGTTACAGATTTGGAGAGCGGCTCTCTAAGACACAAATTAGCATCGATTTACTTAACGTAGATAGTTGAAGCAATATGAAAATAAAAGGAGCGCAATATGATCATAAATTCTTACCCAGCCCTGAACTTTCTCTGTCGCTCCGCGACAGCGGCCTCGACCTCGGCCTCGCCCAAGAGAAGAGAGCCGCCAAGGACGAGAAGAGGGCGGCCTTGACCTCGTCGTTCCTTTTGAGCTTTCGCTCCTTCTTCGCCTTTTTGAACTCTGCCTAATGCATACAAGTTAGCATAAATATACAAATAGTCGAAGAAGGAAAGAGAAAAAGAAAGGCAAAAACGACAAAGAGAAAACCAAGGGGGGGAGGGATTGAGGAGAAAAGGAAAAAGAAGAAGAAAGAAGAAAGGAGTAGGAGAAAAATAGGGAGAGAGAGAGGAGAGCGGAGAGGAAGTGGAACATGGAGAGGAAGAGGGAAAGATATTTAGTCAAAAAACTTCTACGAAATAATAACGTACCCAGTCCAAGGGTGTGCGCTTGGCAGGCGCAGCACCCCTCCTCCCTTTCGGGGCGGGCTCGGGGGCGGGGGCGATTGGGGCGGCGAGGTGGTTGATGGTGTTGTTGGCGCCAGCGGCCAAGTGGTTGGTGTTGGACTAGTGAATATGTTAGCCACTACGGTCACGTGATGCTGAAAGCTTGAGATGATTAGATTGATTAATGAGATCGTGCTCTGAAAGCGATTCAACTTTTGCTTTGGAAGCTGGAGTATATGGAATAGTGACGGTGTATGAAGAGAAGAGTGACGGTGTGTGAAGCGAAAAGTGACAATATGTGAAGAGAAGAGTGACAGTGCGTGGAAAGAAGA